GCCAATCCCTCCCCTCTCAGGAGTCCCTGTGCAGTCCGTTTTGGATGCAGGGAAGTACAGGGCCCTCATGGAGGCTCATGGAAGGTGAAAAACAGGCCTACCAAAGTTTGGGAAGGCTAGAAATGGGTCCATTTCCAGCCTCCAGAGGGCCTCCTGAGCCTGGGGAGGCTGTTTTTGTCCTCTTGGAGGCTCAAAAAGCCTCCAGCGTCTGGGAAGGTCAACCCCCCCACCCATGGTGCAGGAGGCTGATTAGGCCACACCTACCATGGCCACCCCCATCCAGCAACCAGGCATAGAAGCCCTTGCTAATTTTTTGAAGCCCACCCCTGACTAGATCCAAAGACACTTCCCACCTACCCCCATGCCATTTGCTAAAGACCTAATTCCCACAGCACTCTCTTATGCCTAAATATATTTATCCATGTACTACAGTGTATTGCTATTATCAGTCTCATATTTCTCATCTTCTTGTCTTCTCATTTTTCCTACAACCTTCTCCTATTGGTGCCTTATGTTTTATTACTTGTTGTTTGCATCTTACAATTTATGGTTGTATCCTATGATTTATGATCTATGACTTACCACTTTATTAGTTGTATGTACACTGAGAGCTTATGCACCAGAAACAAATGTCTAAACACACTTGGCCAATAAAGAATATGTCCTTTCCTATTCTCAAGAATAGCAAAATGGTAGTCTTCCAGATGATGCAGAACTACAATCCCCAAGAATTCTGAGTCAATGGAGAAGGATGCTGGAAATTGTAGGTTAGCAATATTGATGGACTCCCCTTCTCTTGGTCTTGCCTATGTATGATCTGACCAACAATTTGAAAACTGAACTTGTGTTACTCTGGTATGGTGAAAATTTTTATTACATCTAGACTATTACTTTGTGCTTTAGACATCCTCTGATTATAGTGTTTATTCTCCAGCAACATCCTTTCCCAATACAATAATGAACTCTCACCGTTATATTTGGATTATTAAACTCTTTTTGCTTTTATGACAGTTAGCTCTAGCAGTCAGTTATTTTCAGGATATGAGTCCTACTTCACCTTTTGACACCAGTGAAGGATGCCAACAATGAATAGAGATGAGTGGAGACAAACGTCATTTAATGCTCAAGTATAGCCAAATCCTCCCTTTGAACAATAATGAGCAGTTCACGTCCGGACTTCATTTCTCTAGCAACTGCACTTCCAAGACTGTTTCAAAAACAGTCAGACTTAATAGGGAATACATGACACATTTCCCCCTTGATATTGCAGGAGAAAACCGTATTTTAAAGCTCACCTCCAGGCTTTGAAGTTATTCAGCATCTTAATGTAAGGAGGAAATCATTTAACACCACTGCATTACTGATATATCTAGCTCAAGNTCCCATCTCCAAACATTCGCAGTTAAAGTGGCTACCTCTAGAGCAGTGTTTCTCAACCTTGACAACTTTAAGATGTGCAGACTTCAACTCCCAGAATTCCCAACCAGCCATGCTAGTTGAGGAATTCTGGGAGTTGAAATCCACAAGTCTTAAAGCTGTCAAGTTTGAACACCCCTGGGGTTTTTTCCTAAAGGGTTAGGGATGCAAGGATCTTGTAACTTGCCAGCTTTAAGACTTGCGTGCTTCAAATGCCAGTTTCTGAGTCAACATTTTGGTTGCTAAGCAAGAACATTGTTAAGTGAGTTTTGCCACATTTTGCAAGCTGGCCACGCCCATCCATCACATGATTGCCAAGCCACTCCCAACAGGTCAGTCCAACCAACTCCCGCCTGATCACATGACTGCCAAGCCACTCCCACAAAACAGGCCACACCCACAGAAAAGGTTCTAAAAATTTTTGAAATCCACCACTGTTCTGGTTACACTATATCTCTTCATTCCCGCCCCCTTCTTACTTTTCCATGCCTTTTTTTCTTTGTATTTTATACTTTGATAAACTAATAAAAGAGTTAAATGGTAAAAAATATGCCAAGCATAACTATGTAGCTGCATTATTATTATTTACATTATGAGTCCATCTAGGCCTTTTCCCAGCCTTTCACCTCAGGTCTTTTTTGAAGGCAATGCTCATAATCCATGAGTATTGGTCTGGGAAAGTTGGGCTTTGCAGTTTAAAAGCTGCTGGGGACCCAATATTGGGAAAAAACTATATAGATGAAAGTAGTTTCCTGTACTTTGCAGTTTCTTCAGCATTTTAGACAAATGCAAGAATGCAGTGGTAGTTTGTTACAAAAGTCTTAGTTTTTCGTTGTAGTTGTAAGATAGGATCCTCATGTATAACATCATGCTAAAATGTATTGACTCAAAAAGAAAATGAAATTAAGAACATTTGGCACAAAACTGTCAGAGATTGAATTAAAATGTGCTGCAGCACATTAGCCTTGGATGTTATACACAAACAAAATAAAGAAAAATATGTTTGGAAATCAGATTCCCCGCACCCCCGCCATCCATTGAAAAGATTGCTTTTGCAGGTTCATCAGTCTTTAACTCTTCAGAAACCACAGTCCAATCTTTCACATCACAGTATTTTTATCAGAAAGATGTTCATTATACGCTTCACTTGTAGAAATTGTTTGTACTGTATCTAAGCTCGTAGATATTTCACTTGAAACATTTTTCAATGCACGTTATAAAACAGTCTAAGCTAATGACAAGCAACCATTGGACTGGATCCCAATACACATAGTCCTTGTTTACTGTCAGTAATTGGGTCTGGAAACTCTGTTGCTAAGCAACGTGGTCATAAGGCATGACATCACATGGCTGTGCTGGCTTAAGATGGCAGTTCCAGCAGTCACTTGCCCTTGTTAGGTGAATCCTGCACAGTCAAGGTGTCTATGATCACCTAATCATCATTTGCTACCTGCTACTGCCTTCCCCATTGAGTGTGCTCGTTGGAAGCCAGCAGGGAAAATCACAAAATGGTGACATGTAAGTAAGGGACAATGAATGGTCATAACTGCAAGCAGGTTGCCAAACACCCAATTTGCAATCTTGTGACAACAGGGATGCTGGGATAGCCACAAGCACAAGGACCCATCGTAAGTCCCCTCTCCTTTAGTGGCATTTTAACTTCAGTCATTGAATGAGTGGATGTTAAACAAGGAGTACCTTGCATTGAATGTTGTCTGCTTTTTCCAGCCAGCACCGATCCTGTTCTCTTTGTCTTCCTGCCTGCAGTTTATCTTGGTCGAAGTTAATTCTCAAGCCATTTTATGAGACTGAGATTGTGAGAGAATGTTATTCATTTATTTCATCAGGGAGGATACAAATTATATCTGTTAAGCAAAAGCTGACTTCTATAACTGGATCAAAATATCCAAGGTTTATTGCCTAACAAAAACATTCATGATGACTGCAAATCAGCAGCTTTAATTATATTATTTATCAATCTTTTCTACTTCTGCATACATTGAATACGTGGATTCTCTTCAGGCAGGATTTAATTAACACACCAATAGGCTTCTTATATTTTAATCTCACAAATTGTATGCTTCTAAATGGATTTTTAAACCTGCGTTTTGCATTCTTTTCATAAGAGAAGCATGGGACTAGTTTAATCTATAGCCCCCCTCTCTCTCCCTCCCTCCCCCCTCCCTGCCTGCCCATCCTCTCTCTCCAGGATATAAATGCTCTGCCATCATCTACAGAAGAAGAAGGAAAAATTACTCTGCAACAATTTTTACTGTGAAACAACTGAACTATATAGGAGAAAGCAGTTCTGAATACAGTAATCATTTGCCTTTTGCATTTTTCCAAGTTCTGCAGTTCTTCAGCTAAAAGATAACAGATAAATATTCTACTGTGGAGATACTTGTGGAGAGCCAGTTTGTTGCATGTAGTGGTTAAGAAAGTGGTCCAGAAACCAGGAGACTGTGATTTCCAGGTCCATCTTAGCCATGAAAGCCATGGGGGATCTTCAGCCCATCACTCTCTCAGCCGGTCACCTAACAGTGTTGTTCTTGTAGGGAAAATAGGAGGGGGGGGGATGGACGAAGAACATTAGGTAGGTTTGCTGCTTTGAGTTACTTATAAATTAATAAAGGTAAAATATAAAGAGAGAGAGAGAAGGAAAGATGTATTAAAAGGGACTTGTAGGAGAAGGAGCTGATGTTGTGATGATATGGATGTGCATTCTCGGAGCTCCAAGATTGCAGCCAATACTTTTACCGCTGGGTGGTCCATCTGGACCTAAACCGTCCCGAAGAGACAGTGACAGGAAAGAGTATGTCTTGCTGATCTCAGGGACATCACAAAGATCCCTGATTGATCCAAGAGAATCTCTTCTAGCCGGCAAAAGAAGCGCAGCCCAAGCTGCTGAAGTCGGGACAGCTCCGCAACCAGAGCAAAGCGGAAAAGAGAAAGTGTGTCCATCTGGTAAGGAAATTTTATTTTTACAAAAGAGACTGCCCAAAAAAGATTAAAACCAAATTAAACGTGTAAAGAAAAGAAAAGAAAATAAGCAGCAAATTTAAGCTATTTTGGACAGTGTATTATCCTTTTTTTAAATCGTCTTCTATGGATGGAAGTTTTGCAAACACTTCCTACTTTTTAAAGTGAAAGTATTGGCTTTTCTTCTACTATTTTTTTTATCTATGGATTATGAATTTTTTTTTACTTTCACAATACTGGCTTGGATGGGTTTTTTTTCTTTTTATTTTGTTCCATTTAAGAGCCTTGTTTCTTTTAAGCTTGGAATATAAAGAGGATATAAAAGGAATATAAAGAGAGTAGTAACATCAGAAGGAAAAGAAGTTACACTGCCACTTGGAGGTTGGAGGCTGGAGGCTGAGTTCTGGAAATATTTTTCTCTCTCTTTTCTTTGATCATTTTGACCTTGCACTTCAAANATTCTACGCCTCTGTTTATACCACCTAAGATTGTATAAAGATACCGTGTTTATAAAGATAACAATCTTTTTGGCTTGTAAAGAACGTTCCTTTGTGTTTTCTTCAGTAATAAAAACCTTCATTATGCTCTTCCTTTTTCCTGTTTAGGACTCCTGAACAATGTCCAAGTGTTGTTTCCTTGTTGTCCGAAAGTTACAACCCGCATGTCCGTTACGGAGCAGCGATGGCTTTGGGGATCTGTTGCGCTGGGACAGGAAACAAGGTAATGCTAGGTGCAGCCAAACTGCATTTCTTGTCTTTTCCACTAAAGTTCCAAGAACTGGAGTATTTATTTTGTTTGCTTGTATCACACTTTTTCTTATTTTTGCAAATGACACAAGGCGGCTGTCAGGTTTCCGAAAGATCCCCTCATTAATTCATGAGCCTCGAGCCAAGATTCAGAAGAAAGCCAGTCATTTAATAGGAACACCATTTCGGCAATACCCCATTGCAGTCAGATCTAAATCTCTAAGCCCCTGTTTCTTCCCTCCCCTCAGTCTGTGTCATAAATCACATTCTCCAACGAGGTGCACACCTCCCAAGCCTGCTGTAGTAATCTGAGATCCCACTCTAGCCAAAGGCGTGCGCGGAATGCGTTCCCCCCCACCCTTTCTTCACCATGCCGACTTGATAAAAGATATACAAATGCTTTATGTTGACAGTGGCAAGTATATCCAGTACACCTTCCTCCTTGTATTTACCCAACAACAACCCTCTGGGTTGGGCAGAGAGAGACGGTCTGGCCCAAGGCCACCAGCTAGCTTTCATGGCTAAGGTGGAACCAGAATTCACAGTCTCCTGGCGATTGGCTCAAAGACACCGAGCTGGCTTTCCTGCCTAAGGCGGGACTCCAACTCACCTTCTGCTGCTAATTGGCCCAAAGTCACCGAACCAGCTTTCATGGCTAAAGGCAACTAGAGCTCACCGTCATCTGGTGATGGGCCCAATGTCACCGTTCTGACCCTTGTCCCCAAATACGACAAATCCTCTGACGTGAACTCAAAAGATTCCTTGATTAGGAATGCCGGCAGCCCCGGCAAACAGTTTTCTCTCGCGGGCTGACAAATCTGGCCGACCGGGATAATTGTCTGCCACATCTATTCATCTCCGCCCCCTGCCTTTTATCCCTAGGGTGGTGCTTCGCTAGCAGCGGTGACTCTTCCTTCCTAAGGACCGGCCCATAGATTTCCATTGCTCTCCTCTCCTCTGCCTTCAGGCACTTCAGTGTGCCAGGCACTGGGCTCAGCTGTTCCACCTCTTCCTCATCAGCTATCTCAGGACCTGGGGGCTGTTGACTCTCCATCTGGGTCCTGATGGACAGCCCAGGCTCCACCTCTCCCCCCCCTTTCCCTCTCTATCTTTCCCTCTCTGTCTTTCTCCCTCTCTCTCTCCTCCCTTCTTTCCCTCTCTCTCTCTCTCCCTCCCTCCTCTAACTCACATCCTTTTGTTTTCTAGCCTGGTGCCTTAACCACTAGATGTCCTGACTGTGGATAAAGCAAAATGATTATATATAATTGTGGCCATTTTTACAAAATACCTCCTAAAAAAACATTTCTAAATTGAAGAATATTATTATTATTATTATTATTTCTTTTGGAGGGTGCCTTTGAGTCAGTATTGACTNGAGGCCTACTAGGCCCAAAACGGGGTTCAGGAGGTGCAATGTGCCCCCCTCCCAAGCCCATTTTTGTTCCCAGGAGGCTTTAGGAAGGCCTACTTGGGGAATGGGGTCGCACGCACATGCGTGGGGGTGGTGGTGGCTGGGAGAGGGATATCGGATCTCCTGCTTGAGCAGAGGGCTGGACTAGAAGACCTCCAAGATCCCTTCTGACTCTATTCTGATCTACTGGGTGGGAAGCTTGCGAAAGAGAGATCAAACCCAGAAGCAAGGAGGAATTTCCTGACCGTGAGAACAATTAATCAGTGGAGCAGAAAAATGTTAGCATTATTTTTTCTTTTAACAAATGCCCTCAATTCCCCCCCCAGCCCCGAATCGTACAGGAGGTTACCTACTTTGAGAAAGGTTATTACTTATTGTGAGGCTCAGTTTGAAATCTTAAAACTTCGTTTTAGCTCTTTAAAAGAGTGAAATAAGCATGCTAAGCTTGTTAATGCCGGGTTTTGTTTTTTTTTAGCGAGAGAGAGAGAGAGATCTCTTGTGTGGGTTTGAAAGTTTACACAAGTCCTCTCTTTTAAATCATGTATGGGAATAATACATTCCAAGCGAGGTTTCATTTTATTTATTTTTTCATTTGTTTGACAACCTGAGAATTTGTAGCTCCGGGTTCTCGCCCCATTGGATGCAGTTTTTCTGCTCGGCTAGTTTTGCAACCAGTCTTAGGACTGGCATTGCTCAGAACTTAGAATTAACTGTGTCGTCGCTTTAAATGCACAGTAATCGGTATGCACTAAAATGAAATTTCGTGGCGTAACAGCTCTCAGAGGGTCACAGCCAGGAGTTCAGGAGCAGAACTTGTATCCTGCTAAACTCCTGAAGAAGGGACACGCGGTGGCTCGGTGGCTAAGACGCTGAGCTTCTCAATCAGAAAAGTCGGTGTTTCGAATCCCTAGTGCCGTGTAACGGAGGGAGCTCCCCTTACTTGTCCCAGCTTCTGCCAACCTAGCAGTTTGAAAGCAGGTAAAAATGCAAGTAGAAAACTAGGGACCACCTTTGGTGGGAAGATAGCAGCGGTCCAAGCGCCTTCGGCATTTAGTAATGCCAGCCACATAACCACAGAGACGTCTTCGGACAGCGCNCAAAGAAAAAGAATAACCAGGTGAATGTTTACCTGGAATTGTATGTATATATAGCACATTATAGATAAACAATATCTGGTTATAAATAGCTAATTATAGAAAGGGAAAACGCTAACTGCAAAGAAACGGATACGGAACTGCTGTATGATACATGATGGAACTTATTGTTCCTATGTTGTCTTAAGTCATGTGTTTGTTCTTGTTGATGTGTTTATGTGTGTAAAATAAAAACTATATATATAAAGAAGACACTTCCCGGAAAGATTGAGGACTGGTGACGGAAGGCGTTTCTCAGAAGTAGCCTTAAGAGCAGCTGCATTTTTTTTTAAGTGTTTTTCTCACCTGAAACAAATTGCTTGCTTCACACTCGTTCCAGCCTCGTTTCAAGAAATTAAAATGTTTGATCTTCAGAGCTGCCTATCGCGCGAGTGCCCTTTCGGGCGCCCCTCTCATCAGCTTCTCCCTACCATGCCCTCCTTGAAGATCCTAATCGGATAATCCTGATGAAAGCCTGGCGCTTGAAAGAGAAATAAAGTTAATATCCCTCTCCTTTCTCTCTCTCTCTCTCTCTCCACCCGATAGGAAGCAATTAATTTGTTGGAGCCGATGACTAACGACCCTGTCAACTACGTGCGTCAGGGGGCTTTGATTGCATCAGCTCTGATCATGATCCAGCAGACCGAGGTTCTCTGCCCAAAGGTGAGTGAGGGGATCTTTGAACCCAGGGAGGAGGTGGTGCGGGAAGACGGATGTGTCAAAAGAAGAACAATGGGGGGGGGGGGACGTGCTTTCGTTTTGGCCCGTCCTTTCGTGGAAGGGCCCTGGTTTTAATGAGATCCTAGAAAGATTGTGGAGAGCAAAACCATGAAGGTGTTAAAAAAAAATGTTGAGACTGTAGAAACGGGTGTCAATCTCAATTTCATTGAAGGCTGCATCAGGGCTGTGTTTGACCTTGGGGGAGGAGGGAGCATGGCAAAGGGGGGCATGGCCAGCTTGACATCACTCATCGAGGCTCCGTTTTTGGCCACATTAGCCTCCTGCAGCCCTCTGCCAGTGAAAACAGAGATGGGGAACTCACATGTGACCAGAGAAAGAGAAATAAACGTGACCAGAGAAAGAGAAGGCTGCGTCAGGGCTGTGTTTGATCTTGGGGGAGGAGGGAGCATGGCTAAAGTGGGCATGGCCAGCTTGACATCACTTGTCAAGGCTCTGTTTTCAGCCGCAACAACATCCTGCAGCCCTCTGCAAGCAAAAACAGAGCCAGGGAGGGGACACGCGGCCAGTCTGAGCTCCGTTTTTGGCCTCAGTTACCTCCTGCAGCCCTCTGCCAGCAAAAACACAGCTGGGAGGGGCCACATGCAACCAGTCTGAGCTCCGTTTTTGGCCACAATAGCCTCCTGCAGCCCTCTGCAAGCGAAATCAGAGTTGGGGGAGGAGGAGGGGGGGACATGCAGCAAGTCTGACCTCCGTTTTCATTTCAATTACCTCCTGCAGCCCTTTGCCAGCAAAAACGGAGCTGGGAGGGGCCACATGCGGCCAATCCGAGCTCCGTTTTTGACCACAACAGCCTCCTGCAGCCCTCTGCAAGCGAAATCAGAGCCGGGGAAGGGGGGGGAGAGACACGCGGCCAGGCTAACCTCCGTTTTCATCTCAATTACCTCCTGCAGCCCTTTGCCAGCAAAAAAGGAGCTGGGAGGAGCCACATGCAGCCAATCCGAGCTCTGTTTTTGGCCACAATGGGGGCCTGCAGCCCTCTGCTAGCTAAAATGGAGCTTGGGGAAGCCTGGGCCCGGTCTCCCTGAGCATCATTTTCACTGGCAAATTCAACGCGGACCGATCTTTGCCTGTTTCCAGGGTGGCCTCGCAGGCTAGATCTAAGCATTCTGCATGCCGGATCCAGGCCTGCAGATGAACCCCAACCAATTCAGCAACTCGTAGACTTTTTACTTTCTCAAAGAATTGTTTTACTGAGTACATGATTTCTGCACGGATGAATACAAAACCAGCGCTGATTATTTCCCGCGTTTTCAGTATAATTGCCCCAGTTCAGCTGCACCCCGCATGTACGCACGCCTTCCGCCGGCCAGCTGATTTTTGGGTCTCTGCCATGCATGCGTGAGGGGCGGGATGCATGCAGGAGATGCACGTGCATATGCAGGGGAGGGCAGTGGGTCATTGCAGAGAGGCCTACTAGGCCCAAAACGGGGTTCAGGAGGTCCAGTGTGCCTCCCTCCCCCCATGGCCCGTTTTTGCTTCCAGGAGGCTGCAGGGAGGCCTACTAGGCCCAAAACGGGGTTCAGGAGGTGCAATGTGCCCCCCTCCCAAGCCCATTTTTGTNGCTGACTCTCTGTAAACCGCTTAGAGAGACCTGAAGGCCTATGAAGCGGTATATAAGTCTACTGCTATTGCTATTGCTATCCAACATGGGAATAAAAATGATTTATTGACAAATGTATAAAATCTCTATTCACCAATAAAGAAGCTCTTAAATCTGTGCTAGCAATTCATTATTTTTTTTATGTGGGTCTTGTGTACCATTCTGAAAGATACAACAATTCTTTTTTTCCATTTCATGTTAGTTGAGTATATTGTTGTACTTTGTGACTATAGAATGGAATATTACAATTGAATGTTTTCTTTTTTTAAAAAAAATTGTTCTTCTGCTACTGAGTAGAGATCTGCGGATGACAATTGAAGGATCAAATGTAATCCTCCAAACCGTATTGTCAACCTCTATTGTCATTCCAGAATAGGCATGATTATTTTTTCATTGTTATTTACACCCAGTTTCTCACATGGCTCTCTGCTTCTCTAGAGCCCTGCTGTGAGTGAATTCAAGAGTCAAAGTTTGCAAAAATATTTGTACACTTCACATGCAGATCAATTTATTTATACCTATCTGTTTTCTGTAGTCATCAAAGCAACTACAATATAGGGAGATACAAATTTGTACATATTATATTTGTTCAGCATGGCTTGTGCAAAATTATGGCTGTATAAACTAAACACAATAAATTCACATATAAATGTGTATTAAGAAGAGCCATGATGACATAGTGGTTAGAATGCAGTAATGCAGACTAACTCTGCTGACTGTCAGGAGTTCGATCATGACCTGCTCAAGGTTGACTCAGCCTCCCATTCTTTCAAGATCAGTAAAATGAGGACTCAGATTGTTGAGGGTTCTGGCTGACTGTAAACCATTTAGAGAGGTCTGTAAAGCACTATAAGGCTAATTGTTACTGTTATTGCTATTAAAATTCTGTAATACCACCTTTGTCTCCATACAGTATATTCTGTTCTGCGTCTTGCAAATGAGAAAGTTGTTCTAAATAACCTAATGGTCTAGATTTTTTTGTCAGTGTTCCAAGTATCATGTAGAATTAAATCAGAGTCCAAGGCAAAANGATTGTTGGGGGCAATATGCTGACTCTCTGTAAACCGCTTAGAGAGGGCTGAAAGCCCTATGAAGCGGTATATAAGTCTACTGCTATTGCTATTCTATGTGTCCTGACCTATTATTTTGGCCTAAGTTAGCCATTGAGACCTCTTCCTTTAAACAACTGCCCTCAGGGTATAGGCGGACATTTTGTAAGAGTATAAACAATAACATGTCGCAAGGCATGTGGGAAGTTTCGTTTTATATGAAACTAGTTCTGGCAAATCTAGACTCTCACAATTTACTAGGACAGTTGGAATATGTGGGAGACACCACCATGATCTGTCGTCAAAATAAGAAATTTATTGGAAGAGGAAAGCCAATAAATCTTCTATTTGATTGCTTTTGCGGTGTTGCCTGAAATAAAATTTGAGGCGAATTTGTTCTCGCTTGAGGAAAGAAAGAAAAAGAAAAAAGAAAAGAAAGCTAAAGTAATCTTCATCACGTAGAGTTTCCTGCAATTTAGCTCTACCCTGGCTTTTTGAGTTGGTAGGTGTGCATGGCTGTTTATATGAGCTAGTAAAAGATTTATTTCACAAGTAAACAAAAATTGCATTTATTTCTATGTGTCCTAAATCTCTCGATAAATAAAAGCAATAAATAGCATTGTCAGTATTATAAATATCTTTATGACACTTCAAGTTGCATGAATCCATTGGAATTGCGTGGCTAATTCCATTCAAGGGAGGGGGGTCCCATCCCCTAAAGGGATACAACTGGTGGGACCCTGAAGAAGAGCCTTCTCCATGGTGGCTCCATCTCTCTGGAACATCATCCCTCCGGAGATTAGATTGGCCTCCACTCTAACACCCTTTTGGAAATCCCTGAAGATGTTTTTTTGCCAGCATGCCTGGGAAACCCAGAATGGGATGGAGCCAGTGGTGGGATTCAGCCAGTTCGCACCTATTCGGGAGAACCGGTTGTTAACTTTCTAAGCAGTTCGGGAACCGGTTGTTGGAAGAAATTTTATTTTGTTTTTTAGCACTTTACAAGGCTAATCCTGTAAGGAAGGCAGGAAGGAAACATTCTGGTATTCTTTCTAGACTAATTTTTATTGCTTACAGAAACTGCCTCTCCGGTTAACCCTTATTACATTCTAACAGCTAAGACGAAGCGCCCATCGACGTGAGTGATGTTGAGTTGGCCACACCCACCCAGTCACATGACCACTGAGCCCCGCCTATCCAGCTGGTCATTACGGCGGGGAACCGGTTGTTAAATTATTTGAATCCCACCCAGTGGAGCCCATTAAATGGCTGCCATGAATATGTGTTGTTGTTGGGGTGGGGGGTTTATTATTTTATTATTTTTCTTTTTTTATTATTTTTATTTCTTTTATATTGTGTTTTTACGTCCTTGTGAGCCACCTTGAGTCACCATGTTGCGAGTAGGCAATAATATATATTTTCTAAATAAATAAATAATAAATTCAAACAAATAAACAGCTTATTTGTAACTTTTGACATTATTTCTCATAATGGACGCAAAATTATGGGTCATGCACCATTCAAAATTTCTTGATTAACTAAGACAGTTTATTAACTATGATGATTAAAGGCCTGCAGAGAAAAACATATGAAGAACAAACATACAAAGAACAGTTGCAGAAATTGGCTACAGCCAGTCGAGAGAGAAAGAAGACTAGGGGGTGACATGCTAGCATTATTCCAGTATTTGAGTGACTGCCACAAAGAAGAGGGGGGGTCAACTTATTTTACAAAGCACCAGAATGCAAGACAAGAAACAATGGATGGAAACTAACCAAGGAGAGAAGCTGTCAGGTGCCACTTCATTTAATAATCAGGAAAGAAACCACTCAACTCCATTTGGTTGAAATTAAGTGTACTTTTACTAAT